GATACATTTGACTGTGTGTTTTCTTACTTCCCGGCCGTATTTACATTTTAAGGAGACTGAGAATTCTTCAAGGTGGCAAAGAGAATTTACTGAGGGACCAAATTGTTATTCTTTATTAACAATACCTAAAAGTTAAATGAAAACTGCACTGTACTTAAAAAGTAAAAAAAAAAAAAACCTTTACTGTACTTAAAGTAAAACATATACAGTACTTGATCAAAAAATTTACACCGGCATCATTTAGCCACCTGGCAAACTTAAAAGGTGTTTTAACAGTGTTTCCCAACCTTTTTCTCGTCCACGGCACAGTTTTGAAAATGTAAAAAATCCCAACGCACACCACTAAGCATTACAAAAAAAAAAAAAAGATAGAAAGGGGAAACGTATTTTTGATTTTTCCAATAATTAAACATTGCGTCATCAGAGCTGGTATTTTGGCTTTATATATGATCAGACACTTGCACTTACTTTCTGAAAATCATACTCAAATGTAGTTAATGAGGTTTTTGACGAGTGAGTGACAGATCTGTGTTTTGTCCATCATTAGAACGGCAATAAATCTGTGGCAGTAAATTAATAGCATCACGTTTTCACCAGTTTGCAGTTTATAAAGTTTATTGTAGCTATATGGGCGCTCAGTTTCTCTTGTTAATACATTTGGCCAAAATCTCACGAAATAAAATACGAACAGCTATGATATTTAAAACATACAAAAGTGTATTGTCTACAACTAGACAGCAAATGCTAAGACTCTTCTCTGCTCTTTATACACACAAAAACATTAGCCTTTATAGACAGCGTTTCTTGAGTAAAGGAAACGCTCTACTTATTCAAACATCAGTCCTTTATTTACCCTTGCATTGCAAAGAAGTCTTCAAACTGCGGGACAGTGGGAAAGTCTTTGCTTCGTAACCGGCAGCCCTTTACAGCGGCCTCCGAAGCAGACAAACAGCTGCTCTGATTGTCTGAAAAGACCAGAGTGCTCAATGTACACTCAAAGGGCCCTCACTAGGTAGAGTGGATTGGGACCCTGCTCGCTGTCTGCAGCGGGGAGCGCTAGAAGGATAATAACCTGGGCTCTGAATGGAGTTGAGAGCAACTTAGGTACATAACCGTGTCTTGGCATGAGGACGACCTTACAGTCGTTAGGCCCAAACATCAGACAGGAAGCAGTGCCTGCAAGTCACCCACTCCCTTGACCAACGCTAATGCCAAAAGGAGGGAGGTCTTATGCAACATAGGCCGCAAGTCGGCCGAATGGAGCGGCTCAAAAGGCGGGCACTTTAGGGCCCTTTAGGACTATGGATAAGTCCCAGGTCGGCACGGTCTGAGGGCGAGCAGGATACAATCTCCGGGCGCCCTTCAAGAACTTAACGACCAAGTCGTTTCTGCTGACTGACTGGCCAGCTTCAAGGGAATGATTTGCTGCGATAGCTGGCACATAAATTTTGAGCGTGGAAGGGGCGCGCCCATTATCCAGTAGCTCTTGTAAAAAGCACAGCACGTCACAAGATACTGGGTCCAGGCTTCGTGCTGCACACCAGTCACTGAAGACTGACCATTTAAGAGCGTAGAGCCGTCTCGTAGATGGTGCTCTATCCTCCAAAATGGTGTTGCTCACTCTCGTTGGGAACCATTAAGGCTCCCGTCAAAGTTCCATACATGAAGGCTCCACAGCTCCGGCCGGGGGTGCCAAATCATCCCTCTGAAGATCCCTCTGTAACGGTATCAGAATCAGAATCAGAATGAGCTTTATTGCCAGGTATGTTTACACATACAAGGAATTTGTTTTTGTGACAGAAACTTCCACAGTGTAACAGAATGAGGAATAAATAAGGAATAAAAATATACAAATCAACAATTGTATGTACAGGTATATAACAATAGACAGTTGTATGAACAGGTATATTATGTGCAAATTGAAATGTAGACTGAGTATGTATGTTAGATAAATAAGTGTATGAGTGAATAAATAGTGTGTGTTCCACAGTTATTTTCAAGTGTTCATGAGATGGATTGCCTGAGGGAAGAAACTGTTCCTGTGTCTGGCCATTCTGGTGCTCTGTAGCGTCGACCAGATGGCAACAGTTCAAGAGTGTGCTGGATGTGAAGGGTCCATAGTGATTTTGCCAGCCCTTTTGCTCACTCTGGATGAGTACAGTTCTTGGAGAGAAGGGAGGGCTGTACCAATGATTCGCTCAGCAGTCCGGACACCGTTACATCTGTACACCACCTCTCATTGATGTAAAAGCATGTCTTGCCACCGCGTGATTTCCCCGTTGATTCTGTGTTGTGATCCGCTCTGAACGGCTGAAAGCCCGGGAGACTCAACGCGCTGTCCGGAATGGCGTCTTTCAGCCAGGTTTCCGTGAAACACAGAGCAGCAGATTTTGAAAAATCCTTATTTGTCCGGGAGAGCAGAAGGAGTTCGTCCGTTTTGTTGGGTAGAGAGCGGAGGTTCGCCAGATGGATG